TATCATCTTCCCTTTATTCTACTCTCGGAAGAAAATCTCTAACTCTTTAGTAAAGAGGAGTAGATTAATTTATTACTTTAAAATATACAAATTTAATGTGACAAAAATGCTAGTACCTTCCTGAGACAGGATACTGAAATGAAGATGTGTAAGACCTGACATATCCAGAAATGCCTTTAATCTACCTCAGCCCTAGACTGATCATTTGTCTGCTTATGGAATTCTGTGATTAAAAAATAATACTTCTCCACATTCTTATGACATTTTTCATTGCCCTGTAGCTTCTAACAGTACTTCTGAGAAGTCTGAAGAATTTGATTCCTAATCCTTTTGTATGTGACCTATTTTCTCTTCTTGGAAACACAGGATCTTCTTTTAGTCCCCCCAAACCAAAAACCAAACCAGTTGCTGTTGAGTCAATTCTGACTGATGGTGACCCATGCATGTCAGAGCAGAACTGTGCTCCACAGCACTTGCAAGGGCTGGTTTTTTGGAAGTAGATCACCGGGCCTTTCTTCCGAGGTGCCTCTGGGTGGATTCGAATCGAGAGCCCTTCAGTTAGTAGCCAAGCACTTAACCATATGCACCACCCAGGGACTCCTATGTACAACAGAATTATATAAAAAGCAAGTAAATCTACTTTCTCCTTAGGATGAACCATAGCAATTGTAATCTGACCAGCCCTGAGGTCTTATGGATTTAGAAGCAAGGTATCTCCCTTAGAGGCAAGACATCAGGTCCTTTGGCATGTCACTTCCCATTTTTCCTAAAAGGACAAGATCTACTTTACCTTCAAGATAAGTAAGGCCTAGAATCATTTCAAATGCAAAATTTTACCTCTGATGCCTAGAATTCCTTCAAGAGGAAATTAAACCTTTCAGTCTGTCATAAGAGATAAAAGGCTTTACAGTGAAAATACTGTGTATAATACTATCTTCACTGAAATCTATTCACACTACATTTTATCAATAAATGTGTGATATTTGATCCTTCCCTAGGCTCAATAAGGGTTTAAGGAAAAGATTTTGTCTTCAACTACCCAGCATTTAGCATAGTGTCAGGAAAATGAACAGATTCAAGTTCACATAATTACATTTTTTAATCTCACTTTACTGTAAATGTGCTTATTTTCCAAAGGCTTAATTAATCAGTTATAACACTACTTTTCTTTTAAGGCTGACAAATATATTTGCTGCCTATAGTTTCCAAGGTTGTAAACAGAGACTCTCATAAATAGCATCATAACAGCACAGTTAGTATAAACAGCAGTTAGGATCTCTTCCTCATATACACAACAATAATAACCAACACTGTACAAAACAGAGCTAAACTGGAAAACTCTTTACAAACATAGTTACCACAGTTCTACCTTACCTTTTGATTTTTCCACTGGTGGAGTTTCATCTATTTCAACAAGGGGCTTTTTGTTTGGAGGTTCTGGGGAATCAGGTGAATCTTTTATAATCTCAGTTTCAGCCAACTCTTCTTTTCCACGTTCTAAAATTCCTTTTAATCTTTTAGAGGGACAAACAGTGAAATTTAAAGTTAAAATTTTTAGTAGTCTAAACGGTTCAATAATTAAACTAGACTTTGCATATCAGTTTTTACTTTCACAAAGTAAACCTCATGCCTAAATGTAAGGACTAATCAGAAGCTAAATCTCAATCTAAAATCAGGTAAGAAAACTTAGTGAATTAAACAAAAGTTTCCTTTTTCCTTAATAATAATGTAGTAATTCAGTAATATAGTTAGCTGTAAAATATTTTTAAAAATAGAGGAAAGCTTAAGAAGCTAAAATTAAAAAGTTCAGAAAAAAATATGATTATTAGGAAAAAACTTCACAATTTTGATTTTTAAACACAGACAAAAATCTATTTCAAATTACAAATAAGATTAAGAATTCTACTATCATTCATTCTCTAATCTGCGTATTGTGGAAATGTATTTTCATTCCACAAGTTAGCAACATAACTCCAAGCTTATTTTGAGTTTCACCAGGGAACAGAAGCATTTTCAAAATATATACGGATATACTAGAAGATCAGTGAGATCTAAATGGGAATGCTTTCTTTTTCCCCTCTTCTTAATGTGAGCCAAATGTGCTTCAGAAGCATAACAGTCTCAAAGAGGAAGTGAACTTCTAAAGTCAAAGAGAATAAAGGTGCTCTACTTATTTGTGGGTGAAATGATGTAATTTTCATAATTAGCTTCAAAATATTCCTGTGAAGAAGAGGGGGCGGTGGTGGTTAAGGGGAGTGGATGTAAATACATATGAAATGAGATCTGCCATGAATTGACAACTGTTGAATGTGGATGTGAGTACCTATCTGTTCTATTTTTGTACATGTTTGAAATTTTCCATAATAAAAAGTTCTGTTTATTTTTAAGGGATTCACAACATGGCCATGATAATATTTATCTGGTTCTTTGCTTGATTTTCAGCAAGGAGGTGGAAGATAGAAGATACCTTTATTCATAAACCTTTATTAGTTTTGTTACATTTTTCCAAATCTAACCTTGACACCACTATATAACTAAGGAAAGAGGGTGTACTACTGAAAAATGTTTTCAGCATTACAACGGCATGCTCTTCCTCTACGTTCTCAAGGGCATCCTGTGCCTGTTTTTATAACAGCACTTTTCATACTTAGGTGTAATCACTGACTTACTGGCCTGTCTGTACCACAACAATGCACTCTTCCAGGAGAGGATTTTATGCCAAATGTTTAGCACATCATAGGCATTCATTAAATATTCACTGAGCAAATAAATAAAACTATGTCTTTGAAGTTCTTAATACAGAGAGTAAATACTGATACCAAACATCATGCATTATGATTTTCAGAAGTTAATCAGGGAGGAAAATGGCCACTTTTGTTTCTGAAAGAGGAAAAAAAAAAAAAAAAAAAAAACTTCCTTAAGTCCAATAAAGATCTCCAAGATTTCAAGAATCAAATCACACTGTTAAAAAATGATATAAACAAGTATTACATAAACTACTATTAAATAAGGTCTGAATGTTCAAACACGCTATACACAGAAAGCAGTCTGCCAAAAGGCACCACAGTGCTACATTAATGCCAAGAAGCCACCTCTCTGAATCTTGCCAGGACTTTTCCTGTTCATAATCTTTCACTGCTTTCTCTGACTTGTCCTCTTTGTCCTCCCTCTTTCTTCCTCGTTTCTTTCGTTCCTCTTCTTCTGGAGGTTTGCTCCTACATGCCATCAGACATTCCAAGACTCTTTGATGTTTCTCTGAGTTGTTAATATGGGCTCTGACAAGAGTTTCTAATTCATTCCACATGATACGGTATTGTTCATCTCTAAAGAAGATTAGAATTGACATTTTCTTAGAAACACTCTAAGTAATATTAAACTATCATTTGCCACTGATAAAGCAAAAGGAAATAATAAACATGTTCTTTTCTCTTAAACCCATTTCCATCAAGTCCATTCAGACTCATGGAGACCCCATGTATTTCAGAGCAGAAGTACACTCTATAGGTACTGGGTAGTTAATGGTGGAATTCTAAGTTAAAATGTATCTGATTCTGCTAGGCTATATTATTTCATCCCAATCAAATGTATGCATATATACACACACACCAAACACATAACTTAACAATGGAGTTAGTTTAAAATCAATATGTAACAAGTAAATGTGATGTATCAAGTGAGAGAAAAAAACTACCTTTTAGGGCCTTTTCCTCTTGTACCAACTGTGGAAATAGGCAGAGGATCGTTTTTTCTTTCCATGTCAACTAAGTTATATATTGTTTTTTGACAGTTTAACACATCTTCTTCTGTCAAAGACTCTTTCACAATAACACTGGCTAATGGAACAACCTGTTAGATTTTTTAGAAAGAAAAAAGAAAATCTGTTTTGAAAAGTACAAAATACCAGACAGCAAAACATCAGGCAAACTTCCAACTGATTTAAAGCTATCATGGCAAGGGAATCTATAACCACCACTTCAATCTTCAATTACTAATTCTCTACCTAGAGCAAACTTATGTCATTCTTTGCTTGAAAAACCATATAAATTACATGTTTTCTAACTCGTTTCTATAAATAATATACAGCTAACCTAGCAGAAAAGCTGAAACTACTTAACACTTACCGCTTGCATGTTGAAAATGGTGGTTTGTGAGATAATCATAGGCCAGTAACGGGTGTGTTTTTCTAACTGATCTTTTGCTCGTTCCAAAGGGATCTCAAGACTTCCATCGATTTTATATCTGGGGTCTAGAAAAGGAGTTAATCTGTTTTCCCTCATAAATTCACCAAAATCCTAATGATAACCAAATGAGAAAAAATTAGAAACTATTTTCTAATGTTTCAGTATGGATTACATGTAAAAGCCTGCCTCCCTGATGGCTTCCATTCTGTGGTGTGTAGCAAAGCATTTTCTCTAACAGCTCTCCTTTCCACCACTATTTTTTCTCCTTTTGAACATGAAACCTGTCAGCCTTCATACACTGGAGATGAAGAAAGCCTCAAACAGAAGTGCATTCCTGGTATTCCCTCTTTTCAAAAACCAAGGAACACTCATTTTTCTTCATGTCTACAATTTAACTCTTTTCTATCATCTACAGACAAAGGAATGAGTTAATCATATTAGAAAGCCAATTTGCTTACTTAAAAACTACCCTGACATAATATCAAAATGTTAATTAACACTGGTTATCTTTCAATGATGAAATTATAGGTAATTTTTTTAAATATCTGTATTCTCTACATTTTCTACAATGAATACTTAAATAGCATTTTCCTTATTAAAAAAATGTAAAGAAAAAAAGCCTAATCAAAAGTAATTACTTACAGTACATAACACTGTGGTTTACAAAGTATACTTATACACATTACCACATTTAATTTTTACAACCACCTTAAAAAGTAGACAGCGACGAAAAACCAAATATGAAAGAAAAACCAAAAACCAAATCTAGTAGATTCCAACTCATAGCGACCCTACAGGACAGAGTAGAACTGCCCCCACAGAGTTTCTAAGGAGCGCCTAGTGGATTTGAACTGCCAACCTTTTGGTTAGCAGCCATAGCTCTTAATCACTACGCCACCAGGTTTCCAATATGAAAGAAGGGAACAGGAATAAAAAATTAAAATCAGAAAATAGAATTTCTCCCAAAAAGAAACACAATTTCCTTGTACGCTGGCCCATTCCCCTCCCAATAATACAAAAGTTAATGGTGTTATTTCAAAGTAGCAAAATACAAGTGTTAAATGTTTGTACTTATCATTTAAGATACAAGAAATTAAGTTTCACCTAAAATATTGGTTCAAGTCAATGTCCTTTCCTTCCTATATTTTTAGCGTGTCAACACCATCACGTATTTCTCAGAATACACTGAATACATACGGAAACTACATAGTGACGAACAGATCTTTTGAGCAAGTATTGCAGGAAATTCATCTAATTAAAGTAATAAAAAGTTAACCTCTTTCAAACCTCTTTTTGTCACAGACCCTAGCATATAAGAGACACTCAATGACTATGCGCTGAATGACTCATTGACTCAAGACATAAAATTTATAGACATTAGAGCCTTACTGTAATCCGGTAGTCCGTAACTCTTCCTCCACACCCTTCACTAATTGAAGGAGGATCTTCTAGAATGGATCGAGAACTGCTAAGGACGTGCAGAAAAATCTCTCCTCCATGGCTACTAAGCATATGACTAATGACTTTGGAACCTGACTTGCGTGGTTGTTCCAATAAAACAGAACGACCTGTCAAAAGCAAGATTACTCTATCAACGATGAAATTCAAATGGGCTCTAACTTTTCCCCTTAATATTTATGTCTAGATCTTCCATTTGATCCTCATATTTTAACCAGCACTGCTAGTTTAGTATATCTGTTATTTTAATTTCTAAAAATCTGAATTCCAGCCTTAGCTATCTCTTGGTTACTCCAAGCTTACATAGTTATATAGACAATTTCCAAAACAAGTACAGTGGTCTCTGGTACTGCATGTTTGGTTATATTGCTATTCAGTTACAAGTTCATATAAAATTTTTCTCCTGGGCATCAAGAAGGATGGGTAACCCTCAAGTTAGCAATATTACAAAACATTTGCAAAGAAGGCACAGTCTACTTACTTCAACAACACTCCCTCATTACCACTTTTATTCAAACTAGTTTCTATTTCACATGTCCCAACATTGTTTAAGCCGGACTCCATAGTATCTGATAATCAAATTGTACTTAACAAAGAAATTAATCTTATGATAAAGGCAGACTGACTCTTTAAAGTGGTTCTAAAACCTAGCTGATCATAAGTATCACCAGGAGAGCTTGTAGAATTTAGATTTAGTAGACAGAATCCAATAATTTTGATTTATAAAAAAATTTTTTCACACAAGGAAACTATAGACTTAAAATCGTATATGACAATGATATGGTGTAGTATTAAAATGATATGGTGTAGTATTAAAAATACAATGTATATTTAGGATACAGTATTGAACTAGAAATAAGTACACTGTAATTTAAAATTCAATTCCAGTTTTTCCAGTTGCTCTCAAGTTGATTCTTAAAATTCAATAGGCAAAGATAAATAGTCTGTATCACTTTATCTTAAAAAAAAAAAATCAATTTAAACTCTGATGATCAAATGTTTAAAATAAAAATATACGCCCACTCCTCACTTATTGACATGGTTAAGCTCCAAAGACCAGGTCATTATGTGAAAATCGGCACTATACAAGAGTCACGGTCACACTCTGGCTTCAGTGCCAGTGTCCTCCCAGGTTGCTCACTACACATCAGGCAACCCTGGCACATCTTGGAATGCATGTAGTGTGGCGGGCTCTCCTTCCCCACCATGCCTTCCCCACCACTGCAGAGCCTGCAGGGGTTGGGGTGGAGGTGGTGTAATGGTCAGGGGTTGCTTGCCACATCTAAAGCAGCAGGGGCCCACCATCACCTGGCCGAGCTCCAGGCCTCCATGCAGACCCTCATGCCTCACCTCTCCACCTTCCCACTCCACAGGCCCTGGAGACAGGCCTTGGTGGCAGGCGGCTCCCAGGCCTGTGGGCAGGTGAGGCCCAGCCACTTGGGCCTGGCAGAGGCTGCAGAGGCGGCAGACAAAGCCTCTTTGGAAGAAGATACTTCTGAGCCCCTCACCCAACACCTGCAACTCAGGATCCTGACGCCTCCTCACAAGCTGGCCAGCCCTGCTTCCTGTGTGTCGTGCGCACACCCCACACTCACCACAGGCCCAGCCCAGCTCCTCTGTCCAACCTCGGTAATACGAACCGCCAGCGGCCCGCACAGCCTTACGCCCCTCACAAACCTCATCTTCCTCCTCCCCTTCTCACCTCAGCTCCTCGTTAACGCACAGAATAGTCGGATAGTAGATTTTTTTCTATCATTGTAAATGCAAGATGTTGGATAATGAGATAGCTGGTAAGTGAGAAGTACATGTACTAAATGTGTTTAGACACGATAGACTAAAAAATCAGACATAAAGCCATCTTAGTTTTAAACCTTAAATCTGATTTTTAAACCTTAGTAAAACTATAAAAGAATGTTTCTAATTACAGTCATGCATCGCTTAACGTCCATGATACGTCCTGTGAAATATGACGTTATGTGATTTGGACACTGTGCAAGCACTATATTATACAGTTAGCAAAGCTATGTGGGATACTGTATTTGTAGATAAAGAAAGTTCACATTAAAATAACAATAGAAAGTAGTACATACATAAGCCAGTAACAGAGACATTTATTATGACTCAAAACATGTACATATGTACTGTACCATTATATGCCTGGCAACACAGTCACTTTATATACAAGAAACATGAGATATGCGTGTTGCGTGCAGGAAGCTGTTGCATTTGCTACATCTGTTTACTTCCACTATGTCCTGGTTGCAATCGGGATTTCTGAGCTCTGTTATAACCTTCTGGGACCACGGACATATATGCGGTTGGACATTGCCCAAACAGATGTTATGCGGCGCATGACTGTATATAATTTTAAAATAGTTTTGGGGGAAAAAATAGTTAGACTATACTGAAATAAACAGCTTTCCAGACTCCAAGAGTTCATATTTCCACATATTCTCACTAACAATTTCACTTGTAATAATTTCAGTCAAAAGTCATTAAATGATGAAAGTTACCATTTAGAAGAAAATTAGTAAGGCAGGAGGAAGGTCTACTATTTACATCTACAGGAGAAATTCGATAAGCTCCAGTGCAATAGTGTAGCTCTGAAATAGAAGAAAACACTGATTTGAAAGAATATAAAGAAATATCCCCACATTTAAAAGAAAAAAATATTCTGCTCCTTGAGCTTCTAAAACAATGAAAAACAAAAATTTGAAAAGAAACAAATTAACTGATACCTGTACAATACTTAAAGAACCTTAAGAATTACTCTTTTCTCTTTCAATTATTTTTAAATACCTACCAATGTTATTTGTCCTTGGTGTGCACCACTTTAATGTTATTGTCTCCTTAAATGGGCCTTCTCTACTGCTGCCACCTAAGTGGGTATCACCTTTAAAAATAAATCAGAGAAACATTAATATTACTAAATAGAATACAAACTTCAGATTATTTACTGAAGCTTTCCAAAAGACTCTAAGTGCTGTGAGAGAAAATACTTCAGGAGAGCATCTTTTTTTATGAAGTCCCCTAGAAAAATGCCAAATACAGTTTGGATATTACTTATGATGAAAATAAATATTTAATTTTCCTCCAAATTTCTTATTAATTAATCATTTCAGTCACTGCACTGAAAGTCAACAGCAAAAAGTTAGAAACTTTTCAAGAATCTATAATTGCTTCCCATTTCCCACTAGTAAAGGATAAAAATAACATGGTTAAATACTCAGAGAAAGCTTAAGGCATCTAAAATGCAGAACTAGTTACATGAATTGAATGAATCCTCATGATCCTAATGAGTTTATTTATAAGAAATGTAAAACAAGGAATCTGGAAAGAACATACACCAGGTGATATAACAGTGGGCAATTTTTACCTTAATGGAACTTATAATAAAGGAGGGGAGAAGATTAATCAAATAACAACAAATATAAAACTATACAGTTGACAAAGGCTATGAGGAAGATGTATACAGTGACTGAGAGCCTATACAGAGAGATTTGACCTATTCTGAGACATTAGGAAAGGCTTCCTTGAGAAGTGAAAATCAGTCTGAATTCTAAAGGGATGAGCAGAAATTGGCTAGAGAAGATTATCACATCTGTTGCAAAAATTCTGAACAAAATTCTAGCCAATAGAATTCAGCATCGTATCAAAAAAATAATACACCACGACCAAGTAGGATTCATACCACGTATGCAAGGATGGTTCAACATTAGAAAATCAATCAACGTAATCCACCACATAAATAAAAGGAAAGAAAAGAATCATATGATC